GCAGCTGAGGCAGTGCTGTGCCTCCTCATGCACTGTGTGGTGCCTTTCCTCACTGTACTTCCTAGCCGACCCTGTCGGCTGCTGGGAGGTTCCCTCTTGGTAATATATCAGCTCTTTGCTACTGTCTGTGGCAACGTCGCGTTTGCCCATTACCTCACCCTTGTTCCTGCCGTCATGTGCCTAGATGATTGTTTTTTGTCCTGTCTTTTCTCGGCCAAGACACTTAGCCGTATGCCCAAATTAACGACTGGGGTAGCAGGGCGCTGGTCATTCCCACTCACTCAGGGATGGCCGCTTGATAAAGAGACTACGACAAACAAAGACAGAGACGAAGACGAGGAGCGAGACACACCTCAAGCTATCGATGAAGAGGCACAAACTCTACTCGAAAAACAGCCTAGTGAGTGAAAGGCCAAACTAACGAATGGAACACAAAAAGGTGTATTACAATAGCCAGCAAACAAGCAGATTGTTACTCTCATAGCATGTCGCCCTAGTCCCTACTACTAATGGCTGTCGTTTCCTGTACCATGCGTTTCTACTTCATAGGCCTCCATTCCTACTTGTCTGTTCTTTTGCTCCTGTGTTCAGGGGAAGGGGCTGATGGATCTGGTGCTTCTACAGCTCGTCCGCGCTCTTGCTGCTGCTACTACTGGCCGGATGTAGTGGAGTGGCTAGAGGCTCGGCGGCTTCCACGTGGTTCTGTGGACTCCATGCAGCGGCACTTAGCCACTCATTGGTGGCAGTCGTTGGTTGAAGGCTTGGTCTCCGCTGCAGTGCTGTGGTGCTCTTGGCTTGTGGCTACTCCTGATACCTATGCTGTGTGGGCTGTGCTTTGTCTCTTCTTTTTGGCGCTGCTACAAGCCTCATTCTCTGCATTCGTAACTCGTACTACGACCTCGTTCGTATTCACTGAGTTGGTGCTGTCGGTCGCCACGTTGGTCAGCTTTAGCAACATGTTTACCTACGGGCCCGAGGTCTGGAGTGTCTGGCTTACCTCCTGTCTTGTTACTATCCTAGCTATCTTTTCATTCTCGACGCTAAGAAATGCAGCCCTCGTTACCAAGCTGCACATAGAGGTGCTTCTGCTCACGCTGCTCATCGTACTCTCCATACCAGTGGTGCAGAACCTCCTGTCTCCCCAACAGGCAAGCATACTCATGCGAAGTAGCAGAAGCAAAATTGCTGTCTACGGTGTTCCCGACGTGCCATAGGCAAATTCCTCGTGAAATCGTGTGTAGATGCAAAACATAGTCGATATGCCTGCCTCTGTGCAGTTATACATGGCTGCCTCCCCATGTCGGCCCTCTGCATATGTATGTTTACGCCTATCTGCGCCTTGTTTGCCTTCTTGCCTCCTTGTCTTCCTGCGTCTTTGTTCACTTCTTTTCTTGTTCAATTACGTACTGTATCCCAGCTTTTGCAGTATTTTCTGGTTGTCTACCCGGAGCTCAGCAAGCACGCTTCTCATGTCTTTGTGCACATCAGGTCACCGATGCAAGCTTCGAGCCATTTCAAGTCCTTAACACTTACGGAGCTCTGGGCAAAATACAGAAAGTATGAATCACAAACTACTCAATATGGAGACAGGATAAAATGAACTTACAAACAGACTAACGACCAGCTTGGTAGCCATCTAACGATCGAAAGTTGCAACCAGACACAGCTGGAGTCACTAGTATCTTGTTAAGCTGGGTGGGAGCATGTGGCCTCTCCGTGCAATTTGAATGCTGGCACTAATGGTCACTGCTGCTGTTTTTGCTGGTGATTCTGTTTGCTAAAGGAGCGTTACGAGCTCGTTGTGCAAGGAACTGACGATGAGAAATTGGTGAGTCCATCAGAATAAATAGCCAAACTGGTGTAGTAGCTTTCTGCACCTTATTTGTTTTCTTCTAAGTAGCGCTTTATATGAAAAAGGCAGTCTTCTCACCTCTCTCTTTTTTCGTATAGGCTCCGTCTCCTTAGTTTCCGTGTTTCACATCTCCTCTTTCTTTTTGCTTCTTTTATTGCTTTTGTGTGTCTTTCGTGTGTAATAAGATCTTGCTTTTCACTCGTTACCTTGTGTGCCTAACATTTGTTTGCATATTTTAAAAATATGTGTTGGAAGAAGCACGCTTGTGTATGTGGGTACGTATGTATATATGTTACGTACACACTCACATAAACGTGTACAAGGAAAATACATGTTTACTTATTTGTGCATATATTTAAACTCAACGCATATGAAGCTCTGCGGACTTTATATATTTTTGCGTTGCACCTGTTGTGTCTCTGGGTGAACTTGTATTTCTCTCACACATATGCAATATTTAAGCTCGCTCTTCCATCTCTCGTGTTCCTCCAGACGATAGATACTAAGTGGCAGAACTACGAATTTCAGTGCAAGCCAACAAGTCTCCATAAGGCTCCTTGTTATTCGGGACCCTATCACCACCGTCTGGACTGGCTGATGGTAAGACTGGTACAGGATGAGACACGGAGATGAAGTTAGAGGCAGATATATTGACACTGCCAGGATTAAAACAAAAACAGATGTGTAGAAGCAATGAATTCTTTTGTTCAAGGAGGCCTCTACCCTGCTGAGGTGGAGGAGAAAAAGCAGTAGCAGTATGCCTGCACTGCTGCGCTGATCAGTAGAAGCCCCATCCAAATCCGCCATATGAAAATGACGGCTACGTTTCCCGCACTTTGTTTGCAGCGCCTTGTGGCACTTGAAGAGAAACAGTCAGCACTCTCTCATCATGAGTGGTTTCCTAAATTCCTCTCAGCGTTACTTAAGGTAAGCTGCAACCACAGCTCGCTGCTGCTGCTCCCACGATTGGTGACAATGCTGCAGCTCTTTCAGTTACTTAGCGCACTAGGACTCCACATGATCATCCACACCCGCATCACCGGAGATTGAAACAGCACGAGCACCGGAATCGTTGAACGGGCCGTCGTTTACTGCCCGTATCGTGTATGTTGCTCATCTATCAATTAGTTGTTTTGAATCTGTGTCTGTTTATTGACTTAGAATAACTCATATGTGACGGGCCTCCTGCGCCACAATCCGTTTCGTGAGGAGCCTCCCACCCACATTCGAGTGTTGCGTGCGGAATATCACTTCACCAAGCGGAAGAGCGAGGGTTTGATTTTTTCAAACGGTGAAATAATATTATATCTCCCAAAGCGTTCAAAATAATAATATAAAGTGCAACTTAAGCGTAGGCATCTGTGCCCTGCTGCTTCGCTTTTCTGTTTGCCTTACTTTTCCGTCTATAAACTCTGGGTCCCTCTCCACTATACAAGCCACAGAGCAGTGTGCTTGGCATTTATCAACAACATTTGGGCATGTATATTTAGATCGCATAATTGACTGAGATATATGCCTTTGTAATATAGAGCGATATGAACACTAAGTATTCTTATATATTTCGATGCAGACTTTGAGCTATTTAGAATTTTCTTGCGGCGTCGTTTCTAGCGCTGAGACTTTGTGCAAAGGTAAAGGTATTGCGTGTGTCTATAAATCTTTATAGGCCCATGGTGGGAAATACGGAGAGGTAGCACTAAGGTCTTCATGGAGCCACATGAAGTCCCGGGGGCGCAGTCTCACTTGCAAAAGGTGCTGGCAGAGAGGGCAGAGCGGCGGCGGGTGGCAGAAGCGGCGGCAGCAGCGGCAGCGGCTGCGAGACGGCGGCGGGAGGAGGAAGAAGAGCTATGGCGAAGGGTCGTTGAGGCCAAGCGTGCTGCTGAGAAGCTCAAGAGGCAGCAGGAGGAACAGCAGAAACGAGAAAAAGAGCGACGGGAGGTGGAGGAAAAAGAGCGACGAGAAGCAGCAGCAAAGGCTCAGGCAGCAGCGGCTGAAGCACAAAGGGCCACAGAAGAAGCGGAGAGAAAGACAGCAGAAGAAAAGAAAAGGAAAGAGGAAGAAGCAGAGGCAGCAAGGAAGGCACAGCAGGAAGCAGCAGCCAAGGCTGAGGCAGAGCGGCGCGCCGTAGAGCTGGAAAACCAAAAAGAAAAGGAAAGACGACAAGAAGCGCAACGGCAGCAACAGGAAGCAGCAGAAAAACAGCGACACGTAGAAAAACTAGCCAAGGCCGGCGAACTACAGAGGCAAAGAGAGGAGGAAAAAAGAAGGCACGAGTTAGCAGCCGAAGAGGCCGAGCGCAGGCGGAAGCAGGAGGCGCAGCGACAAAAGGAGGAGCAGCAACGGCAGCAACAGCTGGCTGAAAGACAGGCAAAACTAGAAGAAGAACAAAAGCAAAAAATGGAAAGGATACAACAGTTACTTATCTCAATAACAAAGCAAGTACCCGGGGGGGTCCCTTTACGGGAAGCCGCTAGACTCTCTAGAAAAACACTCCACCGGGCTGCAGCAGCAATGCTGAAAAGCGAATAAGTCTCACCTACTCCTGCATAGATATTAGTTTTCTACCCAGCGTCTGCTGAGGTACAGCGGCACTAGGAATAGCAGAAATTGCAACTGTAGCGGCAAATCGCGCAAAGCCGTGACAGCGGATACCACAGGGGCGACACCAGCTGCCGCTACCGCGGGACACTAAGGATTCTCTATGGCAAAACAAGAGCAATACATAGTCTGTTGAGGTATGCGCATGGCTCTGCTGCTGTTGCTACACAGTAACACCCCACTGGAAACTGTGTTGACAACAACAGTGGGCTGCTGCTGCAAAACGCGAAGGGAATTCCCAGGAGCTGCGCTGGGCGTTTTGTGGCCCCCCTTATTGCGGGCCCTCCTCCTTGCCTTAGCTAAAAGAGGGAGAAGGCGCCGGTTAAATTTGATTTAAACTTCAAGACTATTTTAAGATGAGGTGACTGCCAACTTTGGCCCAGATCACCCTCAATGCGTGGGATGGTGGAACCCTGTCTGGTGTAGTGTGCTCCTATAGATCATAGGAATGAAGTCACTGTATTACTAGTACTGCTTGCGGTGTCCCTAATGCAGGGTATGTAGCATGAACTTTGACCAAGCTCCTGTAGACAAAAAGTAAAGGAATCAGTCAGCCCAAGGCACGCGCTGCTCGTTTCTTTTGTCTGTGGTCAGTTATTTTCTCGGCATTAAATTTAAAATTAGAAAACACAGAAGAACCATCCCTGTCGTCCGCCTTCAAAAATGCTGCTGATGACCGACGCTTCAACGGGGGGCTCGTTCCTGTGCGCTCAGCCCAAATTGCAGTAGGGATGACTGGCGCCCAACAGGCAGATCCTACTGCACCTGCTACATCTGCCGCTGCTCCTGTTGTTCGTGCTGCTGCTCCCATGGCTGCACCTGATCCTTCTAACGCACTTGTTGCTTCCGACCCACTAGTTCCTTCTGCTGTCGGGTTTCTCTCTGTTGCTGCTGTTGCAGTTGAGTTCAGGGTTGGAAACGGCCTTTCTTTTAGTTTGTGTGCATAGACGAGTTTGGTTCTGTGTGCGAACTTGGTCTTCGTGATGAGTTCTCTGCGCCCAGTGAGAACTGGAACCATATTTGTGTGTATTTCTCCGTCTCTTTTCTGTTTTTGTTGGAATGCAAACTGGGATAGGCTGCAGCCGGATACAGTGTTGATGGCTGTCTTTGTCGCAGAATGCACCACTCCCGCAGTGTCTCTGCAGCCCAGTTGTGCAGCGTCTGTCTCTGATTGTTTAAGCAACTGGCTTCCTGCTGTTGAGCTAAATACGCATGCAACAGCAGCAGCAGCAGGCATGTGGAACCCCTGGTGCTTCATATCCTGCATTAGGCGCTTTGCTGTCTTCACGCTCTCGTCTACTCTCAGCTGTTTATTGCAGCTGCTGCTTCTGATGCTGACATTGCTGACTGGTAACGTTGAGGAGGCAGCGAAAGCTTCAAGTGCATGCACTGCAGCTTCAGTGTCTGCAGCAGAAATTGCTGCTGCTGCATTAGGCTCCTCCTTTTGCAGAGGTGGTGCCGGCGGAGCTGTAGTAGGAGCAACAAGATCAGCAGCAGCAAGACGCCTCGCAATGCGAACAGTGACGCAAGTTTGTTTAGGTGGTTCTGCTTTAGTCTGTTGCTTTTCCTCTGTTTCCCTTTTAAGAGCTCGTATGGGGCCCCCAAATGCTTCCCCAGCTCCTGATTGTGCGATCTCCTTCGCAGCAGCAGCAGAAGCTGCTGCTGCATATTGTTTTGCTTCGATTTGAGCCTTTAGCTGCCTTGCCTCCAGTCCATTAAAAGCTTTTTCCTGACAGTCGCGGATCAACGCGCACTCGGCAGGGGACAACTGCAACAAAACGAACAACGCAGGCGGATATTTGTACAAATGCATGCGCGGACTTCATGAGGTGGATGCATCCTGGAGGTGTACCAACGTTTTCCTGTTTGTCTGGCATTAGCTGGATATTAACGACCCCTCAGCGCCTGCTGTGAAAAGAGCAGCTAGCATTTTGAGTTCTGCTACATCCGCCACTACTACTGCTGCTCTTGCAAATTAAAAGTGCACCCGCTGTTGTCATTGTTACTGCCGCTTCTGCTCATCTTGCTGCCGCTTACCGCTGTGTTTCTTGGCGCTCCAGTCCTCGGGTCTATGATGCCTGTGGCCATTTCGATAGCCTTTTCATCTTCTTCCTCGAAGGACGTGTCCAACCCAATGGCGGCCTCTCCCTAATAAATTTATGCGCAAATACGCATGTAAAAGTAAACGCATGCTTCAGTGGAGGCATAAAAGCTCTGCTAAACACTTAACTGCATGCACTAGCAAGCGCAGAAATGCGCAAGCGCTTGCAAATGCACTTCTTTCTAAAGCTGTGATCGCATTAAAAAGCGAAAATATGAGTCCAACATTTGTATTTAACATGGAGACCGACACAGGCGTGGAAGAGATGTTTGTCTCCAAAACATGAATTGGCATGGTAGTGTGGTCAGGCTACTTGCCCTTTGTCAGACCGCAGGCACCCATCCGCCAGAATAGTCTTTTATGTGCTTGCACGCAGCCTGCCGTGTGCGCACCACACCGATGAATATTGTTTGGTATGGCTAGTGCAAGCGTAGGCGTCAAATGTTTACCTGCGTAGCGTGAGAACGAATTAAGACAACACGCCTGGTCTGCGGGTCGAAGACTTTGTGAGTCATGAAAGTCTTCTCCGCCTCCAAGTGACCAGATACGACTTCTTCTTTGCCCTGAAGTGCAAGCAAGAGCAGAACTGCCTAGACTGCAGGAAGTTGGGGTGTCTCTACAATCGCACGGGTGGAGGGCTTGGGATGAGCGAGCATGTGAGGGAATTCACAGCTGTTAAACGTGAGCAGTTGAAACTTCTGTGCGTTGCTTACAGCTGGAAATCTAGAGGACCACTTTTTGTCGCGGCATAAAAAGTCTAAGACGCGCTTTAATGAACGCAGCTGAGTCACTAAACGGCAGGCGGTGCCAATGCCCATTCCCTGAGGATATGAACTATCAATGCAGCCAGCCAATCTACTAAGTAGAATGCGACCTCACCGGACATCACAGAAGGCGGACTAGCAGCTGCACGACAATAAAGTGGCAATGCAGAAGGCAAATTACAGTATTTTGATTTTGGTCATTTTTTGCATGCAGCGACTTCTGACTGACCGTGCAGTCAGCGTTTCGCACGTAGGCCTATCTATTGTTTGGACGCTTACGTTAATGTGCACCTTGTTGGTGTAATCGCAGCCTCCCAACACGCACATGGCCACAAATCGTTCGTGTGTCAAACTCTTCAGAGTCCGAAGAAGCTCCTGCAAAAAATATTGTGAACAATTCGGCCACGCAGCGGATAGGTCAAAGCAGAATTGAACGGTTTATAAATGAGACGAGATATTGGTCAATAGGAATACAAAAACGTTCATGAAATCCATGCGGGATTGGTACATGGATAAGCATGCATACTAAGCATCATACTACATACGTGGCAAGAAAACCTGAACTACTGCTTATAGTGCATGCAGAAGCGCTTCAGAAGATGTTTTGGCCTGTATCCACTTGCCTGTTGTTTGGCAGTTTTGTTGAGGTGTTTCTGCAGTTCCAATATGCAACTATCGTTTTCGTCCTGAAGGAAGGGAAGACGAATCACTTCGCATTTACCCTGTTTGTCCATCTTGAGCATCACCCTTTTGCAGCCGTAAGCCAAGAGGTCGCTGTCTTCAGAGATTGCGCTGTGCTGCGACACAGAAACAGATGCTGTTTCTTTGATTTTCGCTGTTTATATTGTCGTTGTTGCTGCTTAACTGCTCACTGTTCCCTCTGCTACACCGGTGAGCAAATTCTGGTGGGCAAAAGTGAGAAACACAAAACAATGTAGGGAAGCAAACTATTATAAAACGCTCCAGGCACACAAAGATGAACCCACACTGCACAACTGCATGCGGCATTCAAGAGAGGATAACAGACAATACAGGGAAAAAAGGTGCGGGGAAAACGGACAATTTGATTTGTGCGAGACAAATATGCCAGCTGAGCATCTGCTTCAAAAGGAGCAACAATGCACCGGATCCCGAGCTCACGGCAAGCAGCAATGACCTTGTCCACCTGCGCATGCATTCGTAGGAATCTGTGGAGCTGAGCATAAACCCCATGCCCATTCACCCCATATGGAGCACAACATTTGCCCATGGACTCAGAAACTCTTGGTGGCACAGCAAGCCTTTATACTAGCACATACAGTCCAGCGTCCAACGCAGCTTCTACAGTTGTGCACGTCCCAATCTGGCGCACATGTACCTACAGCTCCCTATGCATTTCATGTATATCGCAAGGTTGCGCAGTCGCACATGATCTGCGAAAAGTAGCCTAACAAGCTACAAGGACCACGCAATTTCGTGAAGATGTGCCACCACTGCGACTTTCATGTGCGTCGAGCTGTGTCAGTGCCGGGTAAATACCAGCAGCTCCTTAAGAACACGCATGAAGACTAATGATTTAGGTTGTGATGAATGCGTACTTGCCGATGTGCATGTATTTAAATTAACCCTTTTTGACCAGACACTCAATATGTCTATGCAAGTGCTCTGCAGTCGGCATGAAGTGAATAGAAAGTAGATGACTTGCAGACAACTCACCATAGCTGGCGTGATTGAAATACTCTGTGAACACTTCGACATCAGCTCCTGAAACAAAGCGAAATATGAAACGGGCGAGATGCGGAAAAGGAGCCGACTAGACAGGCAAGGGGCTGAGCGAGAGACTTACGAGCACCCACGTGTTTACCGCGGATGTCAAAATATATCCTTAATAGTTAGCGCACACAAGAATCGAGACGACAGTAAAAGGAGAGCAAAGAAGCAAAGTGGCACTGCGGAGCACCATTTAACACCGCCAGAAAAAGGAAGGATAACAATGAGAGATAGCAAGTGACTTATGAAGCAGAGCTACATTTTGCGTATACCCGAAGTCAAAAAATGATTAGGAAAATACAGAGAGGAAAAGACGGGAACAATGAGAGGATGCATTTTGCGTATACCCGAAGTCAAAAAATGATTAGGAAAATACAGAGAGGAAAAGATGGGAACAATGAGAGGATGGCAGATATGAGAGAAAGCGAGGTAATACAGACACTCCAAGACAGGCAAAAAAGAGAGTACCATCGAGCCGACGGGAGAGTAGAAGAACAGCAAGGCGTAATGATATGGATACTGCAGACAGCAACAGAGATGAAGGGAAGGCACAGAAGCCGCTAGTTGAGGCAAAGGCAACACAGAGAGACAGACTCTGCTGAAAAAGACTGCGACCTCATGAATAAGGGAGCCGAAGAAGTGCAGCAAAATGGCGCAGGCAGCACCAAGAGACAGGGACAGCAAAAATAGACAGCAAGAACGGAAGGAAGAGGAGACGAAAGGCAATAAGGAGAGCCAAAGGCAGCAAGGAGACGGGAACATGATAATAAGAGAGAGACAAAGTTCTTTGAGGGTCAAGTAGTGCCTTGTAGTCGACGGGCTGGTTTTGCTGTCTGCGCCTCAAGAGCTCCAAGGCCTCTTGCCGTGCCGCCTCTCTCCGGCTGAGTCGCAGAATTATCAAAACCCAGGACAGTGCAGAACACATATGCATGTAACATTGTACACGCAGAGGAGGCCTATTCGTGGTAGCTACCAAGAATGCATTAGATTAATCTTTTGCTAACACTTGTCTAATTCACAATTTGGGCATGCCGCGCAAACAGGTTATCGTTTTGGCACGCAAATACAGATGGCAATTTGTCTCATTACAAGTATTTCATAACCACGTACACACGAACACCTTAATACACTGTGGACTGTAAAGTGCATGGGCGAAGTCCCAGTTACGTAAAAGAGGCACGAAATCTGACGTCATATGGCTAAAACAGCAATACAGAGAACGCCTACCGATGGCGCTTCTCGTCTTCACCAGACTTGACGTCAATTCGACTTCCATCGAAAACTTGGGCCAAAAAAGCAAACGAAAAAGAAACGGATGCGATCAGAATCAAACGAAAGTACATAAACGAGTGATGAACCAGCACATGCATACGACACATATATAGGGAAGAAGGTAAGCATCGGGAAGAGTGTATTAAGAATAGGATGCCTGATAAGCAAAATAAATGACGGGCAAAAACTGCAGGCCTTAAACGCTTCTTTGTCTCGCTTTGTCACTGTTTGCTTTGTGCTGCTCTCTGCTGCCTGCTCATACATGCTTTTCTCCTTTTTAGCTTGTTTTATCTGTGCCCGCCAGTGCGACTGTTTGTCTCTGCCCCTATCCGTCTGCAGTCGTTTAACTATCTCTGTCTGTCTGCGCGTGCTCCTGTATTCCTTTTAGCGCGCTTTCCTCTTCTAAACTTCACTCATGTCTCTTTGTGTATTTGTCATTGATTACAGCATTGTGCATTTTTCTTTGGTCGTGCATAGTCGGGAGGTCTACTCCCGATTTTGTGAAGTAAGAGGTGCACAAGTGAATAAAGTTGTCTTTAACCACGAGCCGATAGCAACATAGTACAAAGAAAGCGGAATTGTATGCGGGAATGAGATGGGGGAGGAAGAGAGGCGTTGACTGATAGGAGCAAAAAGATACTTAAGGATAGGCGGGAAAAGAGAGACGCTCAGTGAAGGAGATACGCATACGACGAGAAAAGAGCGCAATGATGGAAGAAAAAAACAGCATTTAGAGGTTAAGATAAGGGAGGATAGAAGCACACATAACGCAGGACAAAGAGACACGAAGATGCACGAAATGATTCAGCCAAGGTAACAGTGTATATGAAAACCAACATATCTACTTTATACTCCAATATTTATAAACTACAAATAAGAATAGACGTTCGTTCTGACCAATCAGTGGAGTGACGCCATAGTACCGAAGGAGAGAAACCATTGAGATAAAAAAGCGAAGGAACCTGAACCCAAAACAAATGGCGTGAGCAAAGGTCGACGCAACGAAAACGGACGAATGTTAGGCGGAACATAGCTAGGTAGTCCGCGATGCGCAGAAATACACAAAACATATAAGGACGGAAACACGCCGCAAACAAGTGAATGTCAGAATCACAAACAAAAGCACGGAGTTAAACAAGAAGAGAAAAATACAAAGAGGAAAAGACAAGCAGAAGAAGAGGGGATGCGATGTACAACAAAACCAAGGGGCCGCCGACAGCGATTCGGGGCTTGGCAACTGACGGAACAAGTTAACGCGAGAACGTCATGACGCGATAAATAAAGAAAGAAGTTCAGGCATTACTTGTCTGTATCCTTTCCCTCTACCAGCTCCACAGCGCACGCAGCGGCCCCTCTGTGCATCCAGCACATGGCGTCCACACCGACCACCTGACCCCTACAGCTGCACGGATAGAAGGGACCACCAGAGAGCTTTCAATTCAGAGCCTAGGATTTTAGGCCGGAGATTAGGGGGCTTCTAGAAGGTTAGTTGGTCTGGTCTACGGGCATATCTCAGGGAGGCCCAGGCTCAGAGTTTGGTACTTTGGATTGAATAAATGTACAGCTGCCTGGCCAGTGAGGGCTTACTCTTCCACATGGCCAGGAAACGTGATGGGCTTGAGAAATTGCTAAGGCAGCGAAACGGGCAGACACAAGAGGATTGAAACAAATGGGAAATGAAACAAGTATGGCACGCACAAATGCAAAGGAAGCCTGGAAGTGACTCAAAGAAATCGACCAGAAGAAGAAAAAGAGCACGCAAACATGTACATATTTCGCTGAGGACTCCTACTGATGGATGCAGCTAATTCTTTGAAATGAGAAACTGCGTTACCAAAGCAGCAGACTGTGTTCATTTCCGCGTTTGCATGCTGCTTCCGTCTACGATGGCCTTTCCGGTGCACTTGAAAGGCTAACATATCCTCTGTCATCCTCTGTCACTCTAAGTTATTTATGGACTTAAGCTGATGTGTTTAAGCTGGTGAAAAGAGGAAGACAGTACCAGGAGGTTGGTGATGCCCATCGGCGCACAGCCGTGAGGAGACTGTGGGCGGGGAGGTGTGGGGAGGTTTGAAATGGCAAAGGAATTAAAACAAAATCGCCAAAAAAATAAAAATAATATACGACTATTATATTTGGACAGTTCTTCCTCCTTTTTCGAGCTGGGGGCCCATTGGGGCTGATAGTGTTCGGGTCGGTGGTGGGGTGGTCACCCGCCTCCGGTTCTCTTCGCCTTCTCCCGAGGCCTTTTGTTCTTACCGTTTTACGAAGTTACGCTGAATTTGCAATAGTTTTCTGCAAAACATTTAATCCGATATGCTGGCGCTAATTGTCCATTCCCGCGTTCCACGTGAGGAGTGCATTCGATGTGGATTTTGATGCAAGAACACACAGACCGTTGGATGCAAGGGCTTTTTAACACTTGCTTAGAGATATATCTAGTTGCTATCTAATCCGCGATAGCTGCAGCCAGCTAATGCGGCTATAAGCTGGTCCAAGCAGCTTTAGACATTCCCCAACTTTCCCTGGGTTGATTTGGTGTGGTGTTCGAGCTAGACCTGGACCAATTCATGAAAAAAATTGGCGGCATCATCACAACTACAATCAGAGAGCTGCGCTACGGTCTATGTGGAGCTCAATCTCGCTTAACAACTTGTGTAAAAGACCCACTCCGCCCAATGTCTTATCGACCCAGCGGAGAGGAAAAAGACAAATCTTAGCAGGTTGACGCGTTAAATGTACAGCCACAGTTCACAGAATAATAGCAGGATCATTATTCAGGACGGCTTAAAAGTGCTTCAAATACGAAGTCCCTTTTGAGCACGACTTTGCTAGGCGATTCAGGGCAGTTTCACTGCAAATGGGAAAACAGCCAATACATATTTATTGATTCCTGCAACATTTTAAATTATATGTAGCAATAAAAGCTGCTTTACAAAATGGTAACTATAAAACAATAATTCAACAAGAATACGTACTAATACTACGAAAGTGGTGAGCTGAGCTGCACCTGGGAGCCTCAGCATCCCACTTAAGATTTCTACTCAAGTGAAGCAAGGTATGCACATTAAATTTTTACCGCAATTCACTTCAAACTATACTGCGCTGAAATTGCAGCTGCCTTGCAGAACAAATCGACGCCGACACTTTCGGGCT